GACCCCCATAGGGTTCCAAGGCTATAAAACTTTACAGAAGAGTAGATGGTAGGTTTGAACCTCTGGTTTGGTTATGTTATACCTCAAAAAAACTCAAAACTATATGTTCTAAAAACCCTCCTTTCAGTCCCTTTCTTTCCACCCTCATGAAATACAGAGCAAACAAAAAATAGAGGCCTAACTGAATGTTTGTGACAACTTTGGACTTTAGGACAGAGGAAAAGGGCAGGTCAATAAATACTGTTATATGTACTGAGTAGCTCAAGGACAGGGCAAAATCTCAAAGGTGAAAGTAAGTTTGGAGTTCATCAACTGCCAATTCATATTCCTGGGTCAGCTCCACCCACCCAGCCTTCTGCCAACACCTCAGAACCCTCTGGTGAACCAGAGCGCTTGCGCAGCGAGGGCAATGCGGACAAAGGCGAGGGGCTAACGAAGGCGCCTGGGCGGGACCTGGGCGGGACCTGGGCGGGACCGGACGTGCGGGAAATTTGAACTTTTTCTCCGCGGTAATAGTACCGGTGCGGAAGTGAAGCTGCATAGAGTTGTTCTTACAGGGCCCTGGCAACCGGTGAACCATAGTGCTGGCTTTAGAGATGGTAGAAGGACCGGGTTGTACCTTAAATGGAGAGAGGATTCGTGCGCAAGTGGTCCCGGGCCAGACAGTGATGGACGTGCGGGGAAGCGCTCTTCAAGGCCTGGAGGACCCGGGGTTGCCACACGCAGTCTCTGTGGTTGTGAGTTCTTCTCACGTAAGTTGCTTCTATTAAACTTGTCACATGTCTGACAGAGGAAAATGGAATAAAGACCCCTCAGTTTTCCAGAATCCAAAGAGTTGTCTATTTTATCTGGTCCACGTTTTCTGGGGTCTCGCGTTTCACAAAGTTTTTCTTGACTTGCTAGAGAGAGAAGGCGGTACCAGAGCCCCTGCATGTTGTTGTTATGCGCTGTGGAGCCAGACCTGACTCATTGGGTAAAACATTCAGGTGCTAACCAAAAGGTTGTCAGTAAAAATATGTCTCATTGGAAACTATGCTGCAGTTCTGTTCTGCCCTATAGGATCTCTGTGAGAACTGACTTGATGGCAGTGGGTAGTAGTAGTAGCAGTGTTGTGTTGTTGCTGTTATGTGCCCTCGAGTCGGACCCGACTCATAGTGACCCCTCCTTGGGTTTCCGAGGCAGTATCACTACGGAAGTAGATTGCCCAACCTTCCTTCCGAGGAGTGGCTGGTGGGTTTGAACTGCCAGCCTTCTGGTTAGCAGTCAAGTGCCTTAGGCACTATGCCATCAGAGCTCCAAGTAGCAGTAGCAGCAGCATATTACCAGATCTCTACAATCTCATTAAAAAAGTTTTTTTTTTCACTGCCCTTCACATTTTTAAGACGATAAACTTTTAGCATAAAATTCTAGCTTCTTACTTGCCAAAAATTCAATTGACAAGTATTTCACAGCTGATGTATAATTCCAAAATTGCACATAGAAAATTTAGTACTAACCTTCCCACTCAACTTAATATTGCCATCTAACGAAAAACCAAACTCACTGCCTTTGAGTCGATTCCGACTCAGCGAGTTGGGTTTCTGAGGCGTTATCTATCTCTACGGAAGTAGATTGCCCAGTCTTTCTTCTGAGGAGTGGCTAATGGGTTTGAACCTTGAGCCCTCTGGTTAGCAGTCAAATGCCTTAGGCACTAAACCACCAGAACTCCCCATCTAATGAAAGGGCAATGAAGCCCAGTTCTGGTTCCCTGAAGTGCATTTATTTCTTTTTAAAATATATTGCATCACAGCTTCTTGCCATTCAGACATTCATTCATTGCAAATGGTGTAATATTCATTTGGTAAGAACTTAGAACTTCTACCAAAAATATTCTGATTAAGCCATCCTGCTTTAAAAGCCCTTTAAATGTGTGGATGATTGTATTTCATACATGCGTGCCATATTGTATTGTGCTTCATTTTCTATTGCAAAGCTTCCTCAAAGGCTTTAGACCTGGAAGAAAAAGTTGCCTGCTATGAAATTAGCATACACTTACAACTTGAAAGATGAGATGTATTGAGAAAATACATCTTCAAACTTAGAAAAAGAATGAGTAAGTTTTGCATCCCCTTCCGATTACCCTTTTCTTTTATTTATTTTGACTTTATGTCAGCAAGTACTCTGCTTATTCTTTGGAGTACTGTTTCTCAAAATTGCCTCGGGGAACTACAGAGATGAATCTTGGCTTGATCCCTTAAGAATATTAATGCTTATAGAAAATCACTCATTCAAGAAAATTTTGAGGACTGAAGGAACGAACACATGTGGTGCAAAAACATACACGTACTTATACGTTAGTTAGGGAGATACACAGATGTTCATAAAAAAAATAGCAAAAAGAAATATAAATTGATGTGTACCTAGGAAAAGAGAAAACTCACTGCCAGATTGGACTCATAGTGAATCGATTGGACTCACAGTGACTGCTCCTTGGGTTTCTGAGGCGGTGTCTCTATGGAAGTAGATTGCCCAACCTTCCTTCCAAGGAGTAGCTTATGGCTTTGAACTGCCAGCCTTCTGGTTAGCAGTCAAATGCCTTGGGCATTATGCCACCAGAGCTTAGAAGGAAAGGTATATGGAACTTAAAACAAAGCAAAAACGCAAGGCACTGCGGTGGAGTCGGATCCGACTCATAGCGACCCCTCCTTGGGTTTCCGAGGCGGTATCACTAAGGAAGTAGATTGTTCAACCTTCCTTCTGAGGAGTGGCTGGTGGGTTTGAACTGCCAGTCTTCTGGAAACTTACAGGAATAACTTTTAAGAAGGTCAAAGGTTTCCATGGGGAAATGACAGTTGTATTTAGCTGTGAAAATGAGTAGGAGATGTGCAGAATCTGGGCCAAAGGTTGGCAGGCCAAAAGATAGCAGAGTAAGAGTGCTTGGAGTATTTGAGAGACTGAAGGAAAACCAGTGTGGATGGAAAAGGGACAATGTGAATGAAGGAAACTAGTCACAGTTGCAGTTAAGTTGAATCAGACTCATGGTGGCCTCAACTCATGGCAACCCCAAGTATGTCAGAATAGAATTGTGCTCCATAGGATTTTTCAGAAGTTGATCTTCAGGCCTTTTTTCTTGAGGCATCTCTGGGTGGACTTGAACCACCAACTTTTACTTTTGCAGCCCAGGTAGTTAAGCATAGAATGGTACCACCCAGGGACTATGAGATAGAAGGAAGGTAATTTGAAATAAGTCTGGTGGATAGAAGCCAGACCTTGCAGAACATTGTAGACCAGTTAGGGACTTTAGTGTTTATCCTAGGAGTGATAGGAATGTTTGAAATGTGATAACATCCATTTTTACTTTCAAATGAACATTCTACCTTGAACAGGGAAAAGATGAGACTAGGAAAGCCAGAGTCCATGTTCTCTCAATTAGGAGACTGCTGTAAGAATCTAGACAAGGAGTGACTAGAGCTTGAGCTACAGATCTGGTGGCCCAGATGATGAAAAGGGAACAGAGGCACTGTTTCAGAAATGAAAGCACTAGGACTTGGCAATGGATTTAATATGAATATATTTATGGATATCAGAATTTCTATCTGTGAACAATAATGTATTTTGTGTTAGGCTTTATGCCAGCTCCTGAGGAAACAAAGATAATTAAAACAAGTTTCCTGAGGTGAGAATTCAACCTGATGTTTTAAATAAATATTATTTCTTTGGTATTTAGGTTAAAAATAACATGAACATTTCCTTTTAAGTTTGTTGTGATTATCTAGTGGCAAGGCATATGATGCTTTTGAAATACTTTTACAAACATTATCTCATTTAATCCTGAGAAATTATAACCCTCTAACAAAATCTTTTTTTTTAAATTTTCTACTTTTATATATGTGGTATGTAGTAGTGTTTATTAACTAGAGAAGTGAGACCTTGGATTTTTGGCTATGTCTGCTACTGCATTTTAAACCAAATGAAACCCACTGCCATTGAGTTGATTCTGACTCATAGCGACCCCCACTGGATTTCTAGTGCTGTAAATCTTTATGGAAATAGATTGCCTCATCTTCCTCCCACGGAGCAGTTGGTGGGTTTGAACCACCATCTTCTGGTTAGCAGCTAAATACCTTACCCACTGTACTACCAGAATTCAATTTAGTCATTTTGGAATTTTTTTATCCATTCTGCTCATTTGTTTCTAATGGTTTTCATTCCTATGTTCAGATTGGACAACAGAGCATAGACTGATATAATAATATAGATGCTTCATTAATGTTGTTGTTGTTATGTGCCAAGTCAAACCTGACTCATAGTGACCCTTCTTGGGTTTCCGAGGCAGTATCACTACGGAAATAGATTGCCCCATCTTCCTTCCGAGGAGTGGCTGGTGGGTATAGTAGGCATTTATTAACATCACTTGGTAAATACCCAGTCAAGCCATACTTCACAAGTAAAAAGCCATATAATTAAAGCTATTGTGTTTGATATCTTGGCAGAGAGGGGTATTAAGAATTAGGTCTTTTTGATTTAGGGTCAGGAATCTGTTCCATGGAAATTGGATTTGAAAAATCAATGTGGAATCATATAATCTTTCTGTGGCTATTAGGAAAGCTCCAAATATTTTGCTATGACTTCGTTTCCTGCACTTTGATCTGAAAAAAAAAAAAAAATCTTTTGTAAATATGAAGGGTCTTTTGCATTTTAGAGGTATGTTGGAGCCATAGTAAATATCATCAAAACATGGTAGGTTGTCATAAGCCTCAGGCAAGATCATTAGTGTCAACAGACAGATTCTGTATTTCCTAGGCATTTATGCCAAAATATTAAAGCTATTTAAATGTTTCTGCTACTGGCTTGAAATGATTAGTTTTAAAATGACAGCATTCAAAAATAACTTAGATATCCAAACTTTGTCATACTTACTTTGGACACGTTACCCAGAAGGACCAGTCCCTAGAAAAAGACATCATGTTTGGTAAAGTAGAATGTCAGTAAAAATGAGGGAAACCCTCAATGAGATGGAGTGACACAATAACCATAATAATTGGCTCAAACACACCAATAAGGAAATGCTTTGAGAATGGTTTCTAGCTTCTTGGCACATCTAGATCCTGCATTTGGCCAAGTCATCAGTGGCCTGCCATGATACCTGCTGTGGCTGTTTCTGGATTTGAACTAGTGACCTGCCGTGTTGCTTGCTAATCTTGAGATGGTGGTATTTACTTGTCCATCTTGGGTTCGTCAACCTCAGCAGCCAGCTGCTGTGTGAGCCAGAAAAATCCTCCAGCTCTAGTGGGCCTGGAAGAGGAGGCAGAGCTGAACCCCGAGGTGGAGGGGCCTTCACCCAGCCTCTAGAGCTGGCACTTTGAACTTGGGCTTCTAGCCTCCTAAACTGTAAGAGAATAAAACCTTGTTTGTTAAAGCCATTCATTTGTGGTATTTCTGTTAGAGCAGCACTAGACAACCACAACAGAGTATGTGTGTTTGGTTAGTTATATATGTTACATGGAACTTTCCACTTCAAAAGAATAAAGGAGCCACTCAGTGAAAATTTTCCTTCTACCTTCTCCTTCAAAATGGGAGAAAAAGACAAAATCATAGCTTCATTTATTGCCATTATTTGAAAAAATTAGCTAATCCATGTCAATTCGCAATCTAAATAAAGCTCATTCCTTTAAAAATTATTTTATGAACAATTAATTGTTAATTTCTTACATTCTTAAGTTAATATTGATGATGATTTCACCTTAATGACTCAGGATTGTCACTATCAGCA